TCTTATTTTTTAATGGTTTCTGCTCAAAAGCCTAATAAGTATTACAATCAATTTTTTACGTATCTATAAACAAAAACTTACTTGAAAAGCGGTGAATTAAAGCAATAACAGCCAAGCAGACGGGATGCGCGCGCGCGACCTTTCACTTCAAGGACTAGCGGCGTACTGTACTGGCGCACAACTCGCCGCGGCTGGCGCAGGGATGTTAGATGGGCACCTAGAAATCCTTGTGCTGAGCTGGCTGAAAGCTGGTATTCGAGCCGGGAAACTAGTACGCCTGTGCTCCGCTCTGCGGCGCTGCCAATTCTGGGAGCTGTGTGGGAAATCGCATCATCCCAGTAAAAAAAATGTACATTTCAATTTCGTAGACCGTTAATAGAGGGCAGTGATTATTGAACACACGCAAGAAATATACTATATATACTCGATTCTTTCATCAATTGAAGAATATTAATCGTTTATAAGCACGTACAATTGATTGGAATTTTTTTTTACATGTATCTCTAAAATTTGTCGATTATTCTATGTTGTCAGTGTATTTTTGTCGGTCAACGGCCAATCTTGGTATTTTTGCGTACAAGGACTGAATAGCCTTGGTACATGGTACGTGACACTAAAAACTAGTATGTATACCAAGAAGTTGGTACGTCTGACATCATTGGGCTGGCGTCTTTGAATCGTTAAGCCCGTCACAGACGTAGCTATAATATATATTATTATATCGAAATATATATTATATTATAGCTAACTACCACAGACGGGAGCTATACTATAATATATATTTTGCCCTCACTCGGTCTGCGGTCGTTTTTGCAAGCGCACGGTTTTAAAGCTTATTTTCTAGCACAGGGTGTTTTAATTTTGAAATAACGTTATAATCGATCTTACCGAAATGAATTCGACAAGAGCACTACTTTTAGATTTAATTGAAAGTTCCTCAGAGGATGATTCCGATGCTGAATTTGATATGCATGTTGCCTTGTCAGGAACGAAAAATAGAAGTTGAACATACCGTATTATACTAATATGCCAAAATATATCTCGTCACAGACGTAGCTATATTTATTTATACACACATCAAAAGTGTCTAGGGATCAACATATATTTTTGCAATAACTTTTCTCCTGATTGATATTAATTAAAATTTTCTTTAAGGATTCATCAAATAAAGTGTTTTCGTTTGTCACAGTAACGATAAACCAAGTCACCTTTGCATTAATAAAGAAATTTGCCATTTTCCTAATAAAGGGATTTTTGACATTTGAACCACTAACACAAAAGTTCGAAAAAAAGACTGAAATAACAGTTTTCTCTAAAATTTTATTGGGTAACTTAAACAATTAATAATCCGTATTTCTACCGCGAACACTAACAACACAAGAACATCGGTTTGGCATACTCAAAATGAGTTCATCCAAATCACGCTGTGGAATGGCCGCCCATGTTCGTTGCAACAACAAAAAAAGGTCTTCTTGCGACTGGATACCCTCCATATTCGGCAGAGCTCTTCTCTGTAGCATATCCCATGCATGCTCAATCGGGTTCAAGTCTGGCGACTGAGCAGGCCAGGGCAGGACATTGATGTTAGCTGCGGCGAGAGTCTGTCTTACAACTCTTGCGGTGTGCGGTCGTGCATTATCATGCATTAACTGAAATAAGGGACCGATTTGCACTTGTAGAGGAACGATGACGTCTGATACAATCGTCTCAGCATAAAGGACATTGCTCGTTCCCCATACATTGAATGCCCTATAACGCCCAGCAATGAGAAAATGCTAGTTGTGTTCGGAATCATTCATAAACTCTAATTAGGCATTTGTTGAGATACGGACAACTTGAGGAACCGTGGCCTACTACAGAATGTATTAGATTTTGAGGTTATAATTATTATACTTAATCGTAAAAGATGTACACTTTATATATTCTGAATAGATTTAGTTTTTACCTGTATGTAAGCACTTAAATAATATGCATTAAATGAACATAAAATGCAATTAATAATAAAAATAATAAATGCTTATATTCATATTGATTTATGAGTGTTGTCAGTTGGCACCTATGATACCTATACCTACCTGTAGTAGGTAATAATAGATTTCTTTTCAAATGAAATGTTCAGTCTTTCCATTTACCTGTTTCTATATTTTACTATCGGTAATTAGGTATGTACCTGGTTATCATTATGATTTTCATAAAAATAAACAGATATTACATGGGATGGGAGTATAAACTATCTTTACATAATTTCAGAAATAATCTTTTAATAAATATAATATAAATACTAGTAATAAGTATTATTGACTAAGGTACCTAGTTCTATTTTTATGGTCGCCTATATTGCATTTAATAAGGTAATCAATCTTGGCACAACTTTTTAACAGAATCACCCGTTTAATAATAAAATATTAACGAAGCCAATAAACTATTAAAATAAATCGTTATTATAGACTGAAACCTATTGAATCTAGTTATCAGTTGATTTTTAATGCTGTATTTTCAATAAAAAGGAGTGCCAAGTTGGATGAACAGACTGTAGTATCTAGTAACAGAACTTTAATTTTTTATTTTCTTAAACAGATTGTCCGTTTACAATGATTAATTGCTAATAAGTTAAAAAAATAATAGAAAAATAATAGTGAAGGACATTCTTTTGGGCATGCTAGGGCCGATTTCGTCGATGTCCTTTGAGCGTTGAGGTTGCCTCTGATCCAAATCAACTCAGTTCTTCCGCCGATCCAAATACCCGCCCATACCATGATGGTTCCACCACTATAAGGATGGACTTCCTGGCAGGATTTTAATCGCTGTTGGCGTCCAGGGGTTCTCCAGTGTCGTATACGTCTTGTATCCGGTCTCATACCAAAACGAGACTCATCAGAAAAGCACACGAAACGCCATTGTTCTTCTGCCCAATTTCTGTGTTCAAGAGCCCATTGATATCGAATCCTACGATTGTGCATTGCTATAGGTGGTACCCGTAGCGGTCTTCGGGAATGAAGGTTCACTTCATGCAAGCGGTTTCTGACTGTTTGGTCGCTAATTAAGTTCCCTGAAGAGTGATGAAGCCTCACGGCTAACATCATGGCGGTTATTGTTGGAGCTCTTCGAGTTAAGATTTGAATGTATCGGTCTTGTCTCCGTGTGGTGCAGCGATACCGTCCTCCATGGCGCTCAGCCACGGTACCAGTGCTTCGGTATCGTGTCCAAAGTCGACTGATAACACTCTGACTTGTATTCAGAGCTAAAGCCACAGTACGTTGCCGGGAACCAGCTTCTATCATTCCCACGGCTCTGAGCATTTCTTCCCTGCTTAAATGACGTCGCCGCTCCATAATAACGTTGGTTTTAATCAGTAGTAGGGAAACAGTAGCACTAATAATGTCTTCAATGCGTTGTATGTTTTTATAGGGAAAATATTGACAGCTGATTTTCATCTTTTACTCGAATTTGATTCACAGTTCCTGATTCAAATTATGAAATGCACCAAAAAGGATCCATATAAATTTATAAAATCATAAATTTATTACAAAGCCACATCTCAATCTCAAGAAATCCGCATAAAAATGCTTGATCCCTAGACACTTTTGATGTGTGTATATTGAGATATTATATTATATAAACTACCACAGACGGGAGCTGTACTATCTATACTTCTATACTAATATTAAAAAGCTGCAGAGTTTGTTTGTTTGTTTGAACGCGCTAATCTCTGGAACTACTGGTCCGATTTGAATGATTCTTTCAGTGTTGGGTATTCCATTTATCGAGGAAGGCTATAGGCTATATTTTTTTCTTTCAAAATTAGGGATCCGTAATAAAATAGCTATTTTGTAACACAAGGTGTAAAATCGAAAACCTATTTTTGCGTGCGCTGCAAAAACTATTGACAATAGAACAAAATGATGTACTACGGGTTTGTAGGTCCCATTAAGACCTACAAAAAAGTCTGTGAGAACATATATCTAGCTATCATGGTTTAATCACAATAACCGATTTTGTGTTCAAAATAATTATTACATCGTCTGAAGAAAAAAAACTACGGTAAATATGTATCGTAATATTAATATTTATCGAAATTAAGCATTATGTTATCAAGAGTATTTATGTAGAAGTAAAATACTTTTTGTTTCATCTCAATCGGATATTTCGTTTAAAGTTATCACGTGTGTAAGATGTTAAGAGTTGATACCTATTAATGAGTTATGGGCCATAGAGTTTTTTATTAACATAAAATCCTGTAATAATCTTTTTCGAAATATATTTGTTGATGATTGTAAGTATAAGATCTTTGAAGAGTATAATAAATACATTTCTAAAATAACTCTGCTAAGGAAATCCACGCGCGCTTGCTTGCATATTTTATCTCAGTATTTCCACGGAAACGAGAAAAACGCGGGTGAAACCGCGGGGCACGGCTATAATATATATTTTGGCAGGCGTTCGGTGAAAAATGAAACATACCGTATCATAAAAATATATCAAAATATATATTAATAAATCAAAATATATATTAATATACCAAAATATACACTAATATGCCAAAATATATCTGTCGACATATTTTGGTGACGTCATAGAAATATATATTATAGCTGCGTGTGCGGTCACTCGAAAATTTATATTGAAAATATGTTGTAATATGTCTTGCTATGATTCATATTAATGTATATTATAGCTACGTCTGTGACGGGCTTTACGCGCGGACGAAGAATTCCCATCACTAAAATGCTCTTGTGACGTCACAGTAGGTACTAAAAATGTGGCACGCATGGTTTTCATACAATTTGATGAACTTGCGTTATCTATTCTATCTATGTCTGTGGTTTGTAGTATAGGATTCACTTTGTGCTATCGTTCGCGGCGAAATTGACCGGCCCGCTTCGCCCCGCCGTCTGCAAAGCGCCAGTGTTCACGTCTGCGCAGCGCGTTAATGACACAGTAGTTATGTAACATCTTCTTTTAACATTAATTAAAACTTACATAAAATAAAACTAATTTTATAATTCTTTAAAATATTTATTCAATACTGTGAAATATAATTGTCTAACTTAACATAAAGACAGCCGCAGCGGAATCGTTGTGCGCAGCCTCAAAATGCAATCATCACACATACAGCTAATAGGAATCTAGGGCTCTGTCTACAAATTATATATTAATATTACAAGTAAATATTTTCAGATCAAACTATTTTGGAATGAAAAATTACAAGAATCATAATCATGGATATAAAATGTGCCTACATAACATAATATAATACATAGGATATACAATTAAGTTTTTCAGAAGCAGCAGTTTTGCTAAAATGTTGAAACTCCACAGGGGTATCAATTGACATATCTAAACAAACCATTAAAACTAGAGCACCACGAAAATTAACTAGTTTATACAATAATAATAATGAAGAGATCGTAACACCTAATACAACTGAATGGTATACGCTATTACGTGAAGAATACGTATTTTTCTAATAATATTCTTACTTACATAAATCTTCAAGACTCGTCGCATAACATTTTATAATTTATTTCTAACTCTCGGTAAATATTGATATTTTATATGTTCAGTAAATAGTAATTTGTGTTTATTCATAATTTATTTGTATGTATATTAATAAAGTACCTATCAACGCATGAGCGTTCACCGCTCTTGGGGCAAAAGAATATCCAATTGGTCAAAAATATTCATAAAAGTAAATTTCACTTTTTTATGAAGTTTTCTTAAGCTGGCACTTCACACGGATCTAGTTCCCTGGTTCTGTGCCCTTAGCACGAACCAATATGGAATTCGAATAGCTTGCGAGTGCGAAATTACATTGTCAAATGTTTACTGATTTTTAGTTCTCGTTACGTCCGTTATGGCGCTGCTGTTCAAGTTTCCATACAAAGTTTGAGACATTTCGCACTCGCAAACCATTCGAATTCGGTTTTGGTCCGTGCTAAGGGTACTGGTATCTCATTTCATTCCCTACAGAGAATGAAAGGATAAACTGCTATTATGGTTACAAGTAGCCATGTGACATACTAGCTTAAGATTTCCAAAAGGCTAAATAAACAGAAAAAACAAATTGTTTTTACGTTTCTGGGTAGACGAACAAAATGAAGTCGTCGATCATGCTCTCTGAGTAGCGTAGGTACATTTAAAGAGTTACATTCAGCATAACGATTTGTGATCAAACAATTCGAGAAAAAATGTCACACACAAAGAACATTAGCATTTATTTTTCATTCACACGTTTTATAAAATACTTTTCTCATTTAATTTTTTCTCATGATTGTTATAAGTTTTTATTATTCCACTTTGTAAGAACTCTGTTTAAATTATATATTTAAATTTATTTTCTCTTATTTAAGTATGACAACAATACCGTTGCAGGTTATAATAACTATAAATATTATTGTTATTCATCGTAATAATATAACGCACAGAAACTATAAATTACAATTTGCCTAAAAAACACTTAAGAACACCTACTAGGTATAATATGTTACAAGTGTTACTGTGAGTCTGTTCAGATGAGGCTATACAAGTGAGAACTTATTGTGAAAATAGGATGTAGGAATTGACACAAATTCAAAGAAAAAAAAACCTTGTATAGTCTTTCCTGCTATGGGTTCCACAAAGTAATCAAATAAGGATTAGAAATAACCTAGAGAGGAGTATTCGAAACGTGCTCAAAGCCGTGTCTCCAGCAAAAGTTTTTTGAAAAAATTAAACACAGGTGCACTGAACTTAGTTTATAAAAACCTGTTTCTCTACACACGCCGTCTACTGCTCGTGTGGCTGTCATACACAGGGATACGTTCAAAAACTACGATCCAGGTGCAAATTTGTGCGAACAAATGTCAAATTTGACAAAGGTTTCGTACACGTCAACATTGAAACATATCAGAGTGAAAAGTTGTACTCGGAGCGTAGGTTTGGAACGGAGCTCTCGCTAGCGAGTTGTCAAAAAAATGGCTGCCCCTCGATCAGCGCCGGGGGAAAAAAAACGCGCTGGAGACCTTAGATTAAAATAAAAAGGGTAGATACGGTACGCTCATACTTGCATCAAACAAAAACTGATCCCACGGCAGCGCGAACGGGACGGCGAGATCCGCGTCACTGCATTACCGACCCGAACGAAACAGCACGTTAAGTTTCAACGGCAGCGCGAACGAGACAGCGAGATCCGCGTCACTGCACTACCGACCAATCACGCGACCAGTACTCGACGTCACTTCCGAATAAGATTCAAAACAAACAACAATTTTTATGAAAAAATATATTTTATAGTACTTACGAATGAAAAGTGATGCCGTGGATTTTATTTTTAGTTCTTGAGCAATTTGAGCACTTTTTAAAAACACACTTAGGGATTGTTTTATCATATAAACACAAAATATTAGCAATATTTCTTTTTGGCGTTCACATGTACGTCGTTTGCATTGACATGCAGTTGTGACTAAAGCGATTAGGGTCGGGGACTACAATTGGTGCGGATCACTTTTGTGAGACTAGTGCCGTATCTACCCTTTTTGTTTTAATCTAAGCTGGAGACCCGGCTTGCGCATCATCTGGTTAGGCTCATAACATGAATGTAGTTGAATATTATGGAATGGAAAGTTTACCAAGAGCTTAATATTTTCTACTTTATTCCTAACTTTACCTACGCGGTCGTAGGCGCTGTTACAAAGTAAATCATTTCCCATCTTTTCCTGATAAAAATAAGAATCATAACTAAAGCGCGGACTACGAAAGAACGTGTGTGCCTCTTGAGAGGTTTCTGAAAATTTACATAAAATAAATGTATCAGGTTCTGGCTATACTCGCTTGCCAGTTGTAGATATACACAAGCCAACCCTTTTCCTCCCTTTTTTTGTGAAAATCCGTGAAGTACTGTTCACATGTACTGTTAGGTACAGGTTTAAAATATACGTCTCGTAAATTTTCTGAAACTTCTCGAGAGGTCCTGACACGAAAGAATGCGACCCTGACTGGCCGTGCCAGTTCCTTAAGTAAATAGAAAACATACACTTTAGAGCTAGTAAAAAAGAGGTCCGAAAATAAACTAATTCTGTCACCATAAGGATTTGACGCGACCGAAGAATCGGAAAATATTTCGTTGACCGCACTTTAGCGTGTTGTACTTGTAAGTACCACACTTATCTGTGTTGTTAGGCAGCACAAATTAATGTCATTAATTTGGAGAATTCATGAATGAAACACTTTTTAGTACTGTTTCATACATTGCATCTCAAGAGATTTTAAAGTTTTCGCTTTCATGTGTTTATAGGCTAAGTTAGTGTACATAATAAAATGATCTTAAAACTATTTAACGAACTTACAACTTAATTACTCATTTGAATATTAGTATTTAGTTACTACATACAAAAGAACTTATCGTTATGACAGTCTTAAGAAAGCGCAGAAATATTTAATTGACCGTCATTAAGTAAAAATGATTCTCTCTCTCTCTCTCTCTCTCTCTCTCTCAAGTAGGTCTAGATTTCAATTAATAATTCTATTTCGAATTAAATATCCTACGCTTTACTAACACCGTTCATATAAGTAATAGGGATGATGACGGGGTACAATAAACGAAATTCTATTTAGTCCGTCAGTAAGATGATCAAAAAATAATGGACACGTATTTTTTCTTTGGGCAATCAACCAAAAAATGTCAAAGTTATAGCGCGTCAAAGTTTGGGAGTAGGGGCTCGTGACGTCATTTTTTAGTGAATATTCGCTTAAAAGTGTACTCAAACGTGACGTCATGCTACTTTTCAAATCAATATATCTCTGCAATGTTTTTATTATATGAAAAAAGAAAAAATACGTGTCCAATACTTTTGATAATCTACCTGATAAACGAAGAAAAAAAAAATTAGTCATCATCCCTATTATGATAGATTTTATTGAATTCCAGCGCGAAAGATCATCCTGTCTATAAACCCAAATAACAAACTTTACCATGCTCGCACGGAGCAAATAATTCACACGCAGTTACATAAGTACTTAAATTTCTATATTCTTCTTATTATAACGTTACGTTTGGCGATTTAACTTTCTAGAAACTCACTCGAGTCGATACATGAATATTGACAGCCTTCCGGCGTACGGCATATAGTCTTAAATTTTATTGGAATGCAAATACCTATTCATTATCGCAAATTGTTCTTTAATATAAATTTTTGAAATTCTTACATAATAAATAAGTCATATCATTAAAAGTGCCATTATAAAGATCGTTACGGTTTTTCGAAAATATCAGATTATACAATCTCACTAAACATACCTAATAAAATCATTGACAATATTTTACATAGATAAGAATAATTAAATAAATCGACAAATTAAATAAATATAACATAACGCATTAAATGATAAGATTTTTTTCAAGTTTATTGTGATAAATATTTGGTAGAACTGTTATATCACAAATAAGTAATATTTACTCATAAAATCATTACTCTTGCCTATAAATTATATTGATTTAAAAATCTGTAAAATAAATAATAAGGAGTTAACATAATTTATTTCTAAAGAATGTGATTTTCTATTGCATTGTTTCCTACATTGAATGTAAATTCTAACTTAACTTTTAACTCTTTTAATTTACATATATATTTAGATCAACTACATGAATAGGACATGCTGGCGAAGGATATATGTATTTTGTTTAAATTAATTTCAAGAGCGAAATACAGAACTGAGTACGTGCAAACTATATCCTTAAAAAAACTAAATAAAATCGCCACATTTTAACTTACATATTTGAAATTATCAAAACTCGCCTCGTCATAACGTCATAGCAGAAATTCATTAGAGAAATATTTTAAAATAATTGTATCTAATTTATCACAGTGGGAACCTGCGAGGTTTTCGGATATAAGAATCATTTCGGGAATAACAATATGTTTCATCATGGTCTTATTTCATCGTGAGAAATTATTATTTAATAATTGAGAGTTGCTATTTGTTAAAAGAAATGAAACTATGAAAATAGAAAAAAAGAGTTGAAAATAGCAAAACAAGTACATAAATAATTTTATGTTACATACTATAAAAATATAGGAAAAAGATTATATGTCAAAACACGTGTCCTAATAAGTTAAGATTACTTACAGTAATCAGGGTAACTGATATGGCAAGATAGCAACCGGTCAGAAAACCTCAGACAGATACATTATATGTAATAACATAAAAAATAAAGTTAATATAAATGGAACTTATTTCATAATAAAATGTTGCCAGAATCACATGATTATATCGACGCAGGAAATCTTTATAAATATTGGAATTTGATTGACTGTACTTTTATTGTGCATATAGATTATATGTTCTAAAGACATTCTATCTCAATTAGAAGTGATTTTTAAAATAGACAAAAAGTTAAAAAAATCATTCAAGGTAATAGGATAACTCAAAACTCAAAAACAAATCAGAGCTGCCAAACTTCAATAGTATATTGCCATATAAAAAATCGCTTCTAATGCAAAATTCTATTATTCGTAAATATTTAGTTGTCGTTAACTTCAATGTCAGATATTAAAAATATTGGCATAAAAACGGGAGCATACTTGGTTCTAATTATTTAGGGATCTAATAAATTAAATAAGAATGAATAGCTTTTGGATAAACAATTTTCAAAGAAAATCGTGTAGTCATTATAGACATCTTTAAAATCAACCAGAGACTAGCCAAGAACGCCTAAAGCGCAAAATTTAATTGTCTATGGTTTTATTTGAGATATTTGCCGCTATACATATGTGTAACATATATATTTAAACAGAAATTGATCGCAAGAACGGTATAAATAAATTTAATAATTCAATTTCTTAAAAATGAATTCCTTCGTATAGAAAACATAAATGTCAAACAGTTCTACATCCCGTCAAACTTTTTGAGCAGCGACCATAGACGAGGTAGCCTGTGCAGTGGCAATTTTACCTCTAAAAATATCTACTGTTGTCTGTGGCCTTTCTAAAGAAGTTTGCCATGACTTAATGCTAAAGCAATGGAAAATAACTAATTAAAACAACTAATTTTAATATCACCGTAACTAGAGCTGCAGGTTTTTGATTACCAACTTGCAGTTGATAGTTGAATACATTGAGTTGACACAATTGTTATAGACTTTGAATACCAATTCTTTAGTAGATATATATCCACATTTAGTTATTTGCAAAGATTTAGCTGATAAATTTTGCTATCCTCAGTAAAAGTTATTCATAGCAATCGGCCGGGCACGAAAGACATTACTCGAATTCGGGTTCCCAAAAGCAATATTTACACTGAAATACGGGCTCGAAAACTGTGTCGGGTAACCAAAACGAAAACTACCCGCTTACGGGCGTACTTGACTCTGTCCATATACTAAGTGTATATGGACAGAGTCAAGTACGCCCGGTCGTTTACCTGAATTCCGAGCATTCGTTTTGGGCTAACGACCAAATTTAATCGCGCCAACAGTGACTTGAGCATCACGCTTCTGAAACTGGCAACTCTATTTGTAGAGAGGTAAGCAAAAAAAATCGACCCACATAACTTAGCATTCGACCTAATGATCAATTGTGTCAATCGGAAACAAGAAACATGTCCCTACTCTCAGCGCTTCAGACTACACACAATCCTGTGAAAATTCTTCAATCGATATTCAACCTTAAATGTTTAGATTCATAATTCAAAACCGACTACAGTTTAGACATTATGTATTGAACCTTACGTGCTGTTTAGTAAGGTACGTTTTAAGGTAAATAATGACATTACGAACTTTTCTTTGACGAACTTTAAAACCTACGGTATGTTATTTCTCGCAAGTTTATTGGTATTTTATCATTAAGCACAAGGGCTAAATATACTATACCAATGTGTGCGAACTTTTATTTGACGAATATAAAAATCCGATGTCGAGTTTCGTGTTGGTCGCCAAGTACTTCGACATTTTACCACTGATGCTAGAATATGAATACCAGAGTTTGTAAGTAGATGCCTATAGGTCTGGTCTGGGCGTAGGCCCCGGGTCTTGCATGGGTCCCGGGTCCTCCGCGGGTCCCGGGTCTGGTGGAGCGCCTTCCAACGACGGCTTTATGGCTTCCAACAGTTTCATCAACGCTTTTTCCGTCTGAAATGCGAAGTTTGTTGTTTTGTGATATTAGAATAATATATATGGATGACAATATTTTATCTTCATCATTTATTTGTGTCACTTCGTCACTTGTAATGGGCACATTTTTTATATTTTTAAATCAATAACAAGTGACGAACATTCTTAATTGATTCCCATTCAGTATCGCATGGGAATGAAGTCATTGCACCCACTTCAGTTTTTTTTAATTTTCATTTATCTCCAGTTGCAATCTCCGTGGGGGCAACCAGCAATGGGAATTGGTTACCTGGTAGGGTAGCCTTAGAGGGGATTTTTGGATTTACTCGATCGTGGCAGATTAACATATGAGGTCAAGCCCTTGTGAAGTACTCTCACCATACCTGAGCCCTCTAGTGACGAGTATAGGACAGCAAAAAAAAATTTTTTTTTCAACAATTTTCCAAATGACTTGCATTTGGTCGCGTCCAAATCGTCAGTCTTTTGAATAGGCGGTACCGGAGTGCTCGCGGTACATCCTTACTCAATGTCTGACGCGCTCGAATATATATTTTTCTTTTATATTTTACTCCTTCGTACGGCTCGCGCCACGCAAAATAGCAAAACAATATTTTTTCCGTCTTCAGAAACGTTACGTAACTCCTCCAGTCCTATCTCAAAAGACTATCGAAAAAGAAATTTTTTTTGCTGCCCTTGACGATCGGCCATATGTTAATCTGCCGCACTCGAGTAAATCTAAATATACCCGCTTGGGCTACCCTACTGCATAGTGTGATGACAGTATAGTGAGTGTAGTGTGGTGCAGATGTCTCCTAGTGTTGTTGTAGTGTTGTAGAGCGCATGCCTCCAGGCGCGCAGATGCCCGCGTTGTGTGTCGGGTGTTGTTATAGTGTGATGGCAGTATAGTGAGTGTAGTGTCACCTGGTGCAGATGTCTCCTAGTGTTGTCGAGCGCATGCCTCCAGGCGCGCAGATGCCCGCGTTGTGTGTCGGGTGTTGTTATAGTGTGATGGCAGTATAGTGAGTGTAGTGTCACCTGGTGCAGATGTCTCCTAGTGTTGTCGAGCGCATGCCTCCAGGCGCGCAGATGCCCGCGTTGTGTGTCGGGTGTTGTTATAGTGTGATGGCAGTATAGTGAGTGTAGTGTCACCTGGTGCAGATGTCTCCTAGTGTTGTCGAGCGCATGCCTCCAGGCGCGCAGATGCCCGCGTTGTGTGTCGGGTGTTGTTATAGTGTGATGGCAGTATAGTGAGTGTAGTGTCACCTGGTGCAGATGTCTCCTAGTGTTGTCGAGGGCATGCCTCCAGGCGCGCAGATGCCCGCGTTGTGTGTCGGGTGTTGTTATAGTGTGATGGCAGTATAGTGAGTGTAGTGTCACCTGGTGCAGATGTCTCCTAGTGTTGTCGAGCGCATGCCTCCAGGCGCGCAGATGCCCGCTTTGTGTGTCGGGTGTTGTTATAGTGTGATGGCAGTATAGTGAGTGTAGTGTCACCTGGTGCAGATGTCTCCTAGTGTTGTCGAGCGCATGCCTCCAGGCGCGCAGATGCCCGCTTTGTGTGTCGGGTGTTGTTATAGTGTGATGGCAGTATAGTGAGTGTAGTGTCACCTGGTGCAGATGTCTCCTAGTGTTGTCGAGCGCATGCCTCCAGGCGCGCAGATGCCCGCGTTGTGTGTCGGCGTGTTGTTGTAACACGCGAGCTAGTTGAGCCGCTTGTTCCCCGCTCAGACTGCCCATCAATCTGGATATAATACTCAATGTTAGCATTTTAATCCTTTGGCTCTACTAGGTGAAGTAAAATTATGTCACAGAAAATAAAAAATAAAATTTAGGATGGACCAGACCACTCTTATCACCTAGGATATGAAAACTAGTTAACGTCCTATTCTTTGACGTACTGAATATACACACAATCTTTCATAAAAATTTGTCAAGCCGTTTCGAAGGAGTTTTATTACAATCACTGTGACGTAAGAACTTTATATATTAGACTAACTTTTGTCTGCGGCTTCTTCCGCGATAACTATAGTTTTTGAGAATTGCTCAGTTACCTAATTTTTTTTTCGGGACAAAAAAATGTCTCGTCACAGGTCATTACAGGCCAGGTACCAAATTTCATCCAAATCCGTACAGTACTTTTTGCGTGATTGAAAAGCAAACGCAAACTTTCACATTTATAATAATATTATTACGAGGACTTCAAGTATAAACACTGAGTTTCTAGATTATCGAACACGCATTAAGATTCATTCATATAATAACTTCGATTCCCTCCAAACCATCTTTAGGGAATAGTTAAGACAAACCCGAAATGGCAAACTATATTTTATTTGTAATAAGTTTTTAATCTATTAACTCAAACAAAGAGTTTCCTACAAATTTTCGTCCCCTTTTTTTTACCCTCTTAGGGTAAGATTTCTGAAAAACTGATACACGTTATTTTATATTTAGGGTTCTTGGTAAAAATACAAAGTTTAGAGTCAATCGAAATGAGCGTTAAAATTCATACATATTAAAACTTTGACGCTCTCAATCGCGCTTAAAGGGGGCGTCCATAAATTACGTGAGATGTTTAAGGGGGGGAGGGGGTCGAGTCAAATCTCATCTAATCTTACGTTGGAGAGAGGAGGGGTCGAGTCAAATAACACGCAATTTTTTTTCTGATTGAAACAAAAAAAAAATACTATTTTGGTCCATTTAATCCAGATTATACATGCTTAAAATTTAATCTTAAGCTTACGATTACTCGTAATACGATTAAGATCATTCACTATTTCGTTCGAAAGAACTCTCAGCAATATTGATTAGTCTTAACTAGTCGTAAATAAAAGCACGAAGCATTTTTTTTTCTTTTAACAATAACAATCCAACGCATTTATGTAAGAAACCCACCTTTTGAAAAATCTCACGTGATATTGGGGGATGGGGGAGGGGGTTGAAAAAAATCTCACGACATCTCACCAGGGGGGGAGGGAGGGACAGAAAATTCAAAAAAACACCTCACGTAATTTATGGACGCCCCCAAAGGTATAGTTCAGAAAAACTAAAAATGACAAACTTTATAATTTATTTAGATTAGTATTCGTGCCAAGTTTAAAGTCGTAACTCGAGGAATAAGAATTTTCATACAAAATTTCATCCCTTATTTTGAAAAATCCTTTCATAGTGGACCCCTAGACCTCATAACAAAACCTGTATGCCTTATTTGGAGTTTCTAGACCTAGCGGTTTGGGCTGTGCGTTGATATGTTAGTCACTCAGTAAGTTACTTCTTTTATATGTCAGGTCCTGGTCTGTGTAAATGGCAGAATCCTGCCAACGTAAAAAAATGTCTGTCTGTGGAAATGCCAGATTTCTGCCACGAGTTAAGAAAATTATTTTCATTTTTCATATTTTGCGTTTTATCATATTAAATAATGGTTTTTAATTAACTCATCTCATTTAAAGATGAGTCTATAGAGAATGTGTGTACAATATATACATGTATGTACATATACTTATATCATTTACTAGCTATAAGAGAAAGAGAAAGAAAATGTGCGCGCGCACTGATTTCTCTTGCTTATATCCCCCACTCAACTCCCGTTCGCCTCGACTGAACACACTTTCCGTAACGCGTAATGCTATGCCAGCTCAACCCCCAAATCAATCGTGCGTAAAGAAGTTTCACTTCATTAAAAATCCGGCCGTGAAAAACAAAATGGAGGGCTAACACAGACAAGGTTTCGAGCGTCATATAGCTTACACATTTGAGGGGATAGGTATACTTACTTATCCGCGGGATTCGCGTTCAATGCGTTGTGCAGACACCAGTATAGCCCGGCGTTGAGTATCAGCAGCAGTAGAAGCGCTCCCCCCAGCAGCGAGGGGGAGTTGGAGCGGGCCCGCGCTCCCCCCGGGGAGGTGACTCCCCCTCCCGCCACTCTCCCCACTGCGGGGGAGTTGACCGCCACCGGGGTCGCGGTTTCTGTCCTGCACACTGAACATAGTGTTCGCTAAGTCTAAAGCTTCTTGGTACTCTTCAATTAATGAAAGATGTATCCGAGATCAAATTATTTCCCAAATGTGAATACAGATTTTGGTGTCCTACGCTATGGTAGGGGTGCCAAAGCAGGGACTTTTGGATTCACTCGATCGCGGTAGATTAACATAAGGAGGGTAACTTAAGAAAGGCTACAAAGAATTCGACACGGCCGTCAGGGCCGCGGTAGTATTACGATAGCGAAGGGTGCGGGTTCGATTCCCGTCTGCTACCTGGTCGCGTGCTTTTTTTTCTAGTAATATTTTCTTTAGATTTAGACATCGAGCAGTTATATGCTTAAAAAAAATAATAACAATAAGGGGGGGGGGGGGGGGGGGGGTAAACTTGCGCCTTGTGAAGTATTCCCCGCCATACCTGAGCCCTCTAAGTAGAACCGGACGTATAGACGGACCAAAACAAAAATTCAAAAATCGACCACATCTCGCATCCAAATCGTTAGGGTATTAACGAACGTACGAAGCGATTTTTTTGAAAATTTGCACTTATTTATAAGCAGCTCTCAAATTCATAAATTATAGTAAAAAGTTAGTTTCAGTTTGCGTGGAATCAAGTTTTATAGCAATTCATATTATTTCTAAATCGTTAATACACACTTACAATACCTTATGACCACACACCCATTCAATGACCGATGATGAATGATGGGTGACCAAAAATCTTCTATCTTGAGTTCCTCCGTGCTTCGGAAGGCACGTTAAGCCGTCGGTCCCGGCTGCATCTGCAGTCGTTAGCACCCACCAATCCGCACTGGGCCCGCGTGGACGGTCATGGCCCGCACTCCCTATTCCATCCATAGGGAAGGCCTGTGCCCCAGCAGTGTTAACAGGCTGATGATGATGATGTAGTTACCCGTGTTCCTCCTCTGCCTGCGGGCCTTCCTGGCGGTGGGCGCTCCGCCCTCGGCCTCGGCCTGCAGCCGCGTGCTCAGCAGCCGGCAGAACTGCTCCAAGCCCGATATCGTATTCCTTTCCAGGAAACCTGGCAAAACCACACCTTGAAGTTTTCGCAAGAGATACTTAATCTATCACTGTTCTCTATTCAGCTTCCTTAAAGCCATAATGTCAACGAATAAACCGATGTTTCCAAAACTTTTTTATCAAGAGTGAGAACCTACGCTGCGTTAAGCGGAAACACGGAGCGGGCGTCCGCTTGGCGCGCAGGACCGCGATGAAAAGAGACGGCTGTATTGCCGACCATGCCTTTGAATATTTATTTATTTATTTATTCATACTTTATTGCACAAATGAATGTTCAAGTGGCGGACTTAATTACATTAGGCATTATCTACAAATATTTACTATTAAATCAGTTTACAGTAAGTATTACAATAAAATTTGCTTAGAATGCGTTTAATAAACATTGATAAGATACCTGTCGAAAAAACGACACTACGTGCTATAAGTATTTATTTCGAATTTTTTCGCGGAGCTCTGCGGCATGTTGACTTTTCAACGGTCCGCGCGTGACTGTGAACCAAGACGTGCTTGAGTGGCGTTCAAGCACTTTTTGATTGGGACACCTTTTGAGCACACGTGGTGTAAATAGGGTATTTAATATCGTCGATTTGTTTACTCAATCGTGTCACGATATGTAGTGTCGTCTTTGACCTATTGGAGGCCCTGGGCATATTAGCACAATGGGGCCGCTATGACCCCCCTTTGGTGACTTAACAGGAACTAGGGACTTTGTATTTGAACTGATGGGGGCCCCTATCGATCGCGGGGCCCTGGGTACTTGCCCAAAGTGCCCACTGGGAAAGAGAAGGTCTGGATATGTCTCTGCCCAATAAATGTTTTGGATTTAGTGTAGGTAGTGTAGTGTTTAGACTAAGTGCAAGTGTTGGTAATACTACCACTTACCTCTGACTGTGGACCACATCTGCTTCTTATAATGCAGATGCGCGTGTATCAGCAAACTAGTGGCGTGGTCGGAGACTCTCGCCAGACAGTAATGTACTCGCACGCTGAAGTAATCCGCGTACGGAATGCCGGAGTTCTCGCTGCACGCGTCGATCGAGTACAATACACCAGGTTTGGAGCATTTGTTCATCACCTGGAGAAGGGGTTTGTTTATTGAGAAATAACGAGGAAAACAGAATTTAGTTGGTCGTGGGGATTGTGGAAAATCAGTATTAATTCAGTAGCTGTTTATAAAGTTGATAACTTAAGGAAGATTATCAGACTGTTAAAGAATATTTGATTGACAAAACGGCGTGGTCGTGATGTGATTTCTCCATTGCTTTGTTTTTGTAATTGTTTGTGGTGTCCTACAGCTAAATGACCTTAATTTAAGTAAATATGTTGTAGTTAGTATGGGTAGTTATAAGTAGTCATGCTCTCTTAATAGTCTCTTCGGCGGTGTCGTGTGAGGCGGGTCGTTCCCTAAAATATGGTTGAGCGAAGTGATGGCTGGTTCATGCGTCATGCTCGTGAACGGGTGCTGCCAGCGAGAATGAGTCTGCCCTTCTTCTTATATTGAAGTTAATGTTTAGTCACATTTAATAATATTAACACTATTTGTATTTATACTGTATGACACAGCAATCAAAATGCAGGTAAACAATTAATGTATATTTAATCATTATGTAATGAAAGGTGACTTCATGAATCATCTCTGAAGTCATTTTTCAATTTGACGACTCTGTAAATAATAAAACAGGGAGAAAAAAAACAGCTCTTCCTGAGTTTCTTGCCGGTTCTTTTAAGTACAAGGTCTCCCGCCGTAGATTTACGAACCGGTGGCATAGCTTGTAGACATTCATGAGTGCTTGTAACAGCCTAAACTGAATAAATGATTTTGATTATGATTATGATAAGTAGATACAGCAAGACCTCTATAATCCGAAGGTACCACACCCGTCCACGCTTTTTCGTTAGCCGGGACCTATATTTTAAAGGGCCTTTTTTTGTCATGATTAATTTAATAAAGTTTTATAAATGTATTGTTTATAGATGAATATACATTTGTAATTTCACAAATAGTATTAAGTTTTATTTCATTAAAAAATATCTGTAAGTAGGTACTGTAATCAAAATCAGGGTAAATTTTTGGAGTTCGGATTAAAGCTGCCTGCGGTAGGGTTATATCTGTTTTTCATATTATTTACTAAAAGAATTAAGTTTTTGTACACGGATATGTTGTCCGAACAATAAATGATTTGATTGAGAAAATTAATTAGTAATCATTCAGGGCCATGTATGCGCTAAAGTAATCCGCGTAGGAGATGCGTCGATAGAGTCTAGAAAGTTTGAAGCATTTAGTTCTTTACCTGTGTTTACAGTTATCGTTCAGAAATTATGGCAAAACCCGGGCTTTCTTGACGCTTTATATCTGCCGTTCTCAAACTAAAGTGCGGGTAAGTGACATATGGTTGATTTTTCAGTCTTAAATTGCATCTTATACAGTTTTTGATTCTCTATCGATCTGTCTATAAGAAGTATTTGTATCTTTTATAATTTAAGTAAAAAAATCCGTCATGTGATGAATGGTTACATAATAGCAATAATTTAAAGTTTACACGTTATCATATCTCGAAAGTGGGTTTTGTCATTTAGCCGCGTTTTAGCTTGAGGACGGCAGACATGTAGTTCCGATTAATCGAACGAGCATTGATTTGATCCGTAGACTATGACGCCATACGTGATTGTTGACGTGCACCTCCTTGGGTCCGATGGGGCCGGACGTGAGGCCCAGCTTGTAGCTAATCTGGTGACACTTCAGACCTGAGACTATCTTTATATATATAATTCTTCTGTGAGTGTGTATGTCACTGAACTTCTCTTAAACGACTGGACCGATTTTGATGATTTTTTTTGTGTGTGTTCAAGGGGATCTGAGAATGGTTTAGATTCACAATTTTGTCCGCTGGACAACCCCTATTTTTTTAGGGCGGTACGAAGTTCGCTGGGTCAGCTAGTGTTTATATATATCAAGATATCATGACGTCAATGTGACAGTACCTGGGTCTCGGTGACGTGCACCTCCTTGGGTCCGATGGGGCCGGACGTGAGGCCCAGCTTGTAGCTAATCTGACGACACTTCAGACCTGAGACTATGGTTATATATATCAAGATATCATGACGTCAATGTGACAGTACCTGGGTCTCGGTGACGTGCACCTCCTTGGGTCCGATGGGGCCGGACGTGAGGCCCAGCTTGTAGCTAATCTGACGACACTTCAGACCTGAGACTATGGTTATATATATCAAGATATCATGACATCAATGTGACAGTACCTGGGTCTCGGTGACGTGCACCTCCTTGGGTCCGATGGGGCCGGACGTGAGGCCCAGCTTGTAGCTAATCTGACGACACTTCAGACCGCCTTGGGGCTGCCACGGCGCCTGTGGATCATCATAAATACATCACGTCTCGATCCGCGCGAGCTTCGTACAGTCGTACCATATACATGCACGTTAAGATTCAACTAGAGGTTCATTTCTGGGATGTAGTATTGCATTGTTTAACAAAGTTCCCCAAGATCTGATTGAGCTTCCACTAACCAAATTTAAATCTCAGATCAAGAATTCTCTTATAAATAAGGGCTATTATAAAGTTAATGATTATCTAAATGATCGTAATGCATGGACATAGTGTTTCTTGTAATTTGTTATTTGATGGGTATTAGTCAGTTTTTGTAACAGTTATATGGTACCTTAGTAATGCCGCTTCCTATATACTAAATATAAAATTTATTGTAACTATATATCTATATCCTAAATGATGTAATGCAAGGTGACTTCAGAAGTATCTCTGAAGTCATTTTTCAACTTGACGACTCTGTATATATCAATACAGGGAGAAAAAAGCAGCCCTTGCTGAGTTTCTTGCCGGTTCTTCTCAGTACAAGGTCTCCCGCCTTGTTTTGCGAACCGATGGCGTAGCTTCTGACCTTCACAAGTGCTTGTGACAGCCTAGATTGAATAAATGACTTTTCATTTCATTTCACTAGTCGCGGGCTCGAACTCACTCGTGGACGCGGCCAAAAAGCATGCTGTCTCACCTAGCATTGTGTCTTAAAGACATAGAATCAGTTATGAGCAGTTAGCAGCTAGTCTACACGCATACGTCCAGCCGCACGCACACAAACACCGTGCCGAAGTCTGCCGAACTGAAACGACGTTAAACGATGCACGGCTTTCAACGCCGCACCGCTGTGCCGGTCGGAGTGGGGGGTGTTAGGTTTATTTTCGTTACGGAATTTCTTGATTCGGTCGCCGCGTTCAAAGCCCGCGATAAAAGCTATGCGATAGATTAAAAATTTACACATTTTGGTACCACAGAAAACTAGTGTGTGTTAGAATAAAGAATAAGTGACCTCATCCTTCTCTACGATAGACAAAGCAATGTAGAGTGAAACTGAAGTGGGGGAAATGACTTCTTAGTTGCAGCCGGTGGCGACTTTGAATTTGTTTTCCTATTTGCCCTCGATGGCAATCCCCGCAGGGGCGACTGGGAATAAAGGCCTTTTTCAATGTCTGGGAAAGGCTTGACGCTTTCATTGCCGTCGGGAGTTGCAACGGTGTGAGTTGGAGGGATGATGACTCACGTTTTTTCTTCGCCTATCAGGTTACATTACAAAAAGTGCTGGACTTTTCTTTTTGACATAATTGAAACATAACACAGATTATATTGATTTGAAGTGACGCATGACGTCACGCTTTCAGCCGGGACCAACGGCTTAACGTGCCTTCCGAAGTACATTTTTGGTCACCCATCCAATGACCGACCACTGCGAAAGTTGCTTAACTTCAACGATCTCAGCCGAACGCGCTTATCACTTGCGCCATCGAGCTATTCCAAGTTGTCCAATGAGTATCCATTATTTCTGAAGATAAATATTCTAGTTATGATTTTTTTAAGCATTTAACTGCTAGATGTTTAAATCTAAAGAAAAGTTTACTAGAAAAAAATATTCTATTTTGTCATGTTGCCGCGGCCCTGATCGCCGTGTCGATTTTTTGTGTAGTATTTATTAAGCTGCAAGGCAGCGCCATCTCTTCGCATTGTAGGTAAGCTACAATTCGGTGCGGGTTCGAATCCTGTCTGCTGGCTGAGCGCGTTGAATTTTTTCTAGTAAAAAAATCTTTAAGAAAAGGCCCTGTTTCCGCACCTGCAAATAGTCGGTGGTTCCCCTGGCGGCTAACAGTTCGAGGTTGAACTGTGAGCTGGTGAACATCATGGTGAAGAGCTGGTCGATGTTGAAGGGCACCTCCTGCTGCAGCAGCTGCCGACCCTCGTGGCTGGCGGTGCACTTGTCTGTGCCACCACCGCTAAATAGACAAGTGTAAATACGTTAAATTATGGAGTAAACACTGAGTAGAGAGTCGGCAAATGACAAAACCCTTTATTCTAATAAAAAAAAACTGATGTGGGGGCAATGAGTTTGTTCCCATTTGCCATCGGTGCAAGGGCGGATCCAGGGGAGGGGGGTCAAAGTTGAACGTAATACGCATATAAGTTGATATCTTTTAATGAGTTGATCATAATACGCATAAGTTGATGTCATTTTGATAGCGCACTTTTCGGGGAGCATAATATACGTAATGTGAAATTGATATCAAAACAATATCACAATTAGCGAGCATAATTGACCTGCTGGGAATAAACGACAATAGCTTGCCATCGCAAAGTACGTAAGGGATCGTCCTATTTGGCTATGATCGAGCGCGTTGTGATTTCATCGTACGGTGGAACTACTGTATCTGCGTTCGTGTGTTGACTGACGATCTGTATTAGGATCATCACCAGCCTATTAATGTCCCCACTGCTGGGGCACATGCCTTCCTAATGGATGGAACAGGGAGATTGTGCCATGACCCACCACGCGGGCCTAACGACTGCAGATGCAGCCGGGACCAACGGCTTAACGTGCCTTCTGAAGCACGGAAGAGCTCGATATAGTAAATTTTTGGTCATCTATCCAATGACCGACCACTGCGAAAGTTGCTTAAATTCAACGATCGCAGCCAAACACGCTAAACACTTGCGCCATCGAGCTTCTCCGATGTATAAGGATACCTCCGAAGAAATATCTATGTTTGAAAATCATCGCATGATGAGAACGTATCGTGTCATCGTACGATCGTTGCCTATTAGGATGAACCCTCTCGGTCGCTTTTTTGGTTACATATATTCTCATTTAGTTTCAAGCCGAATCTATTTGTAAAACCGACCATTCTTATAATTGTATTATTCTCTTTAAATATATATTTAGATTAGTAATATAATGCACACATTCGAGTGTTTGCATGGCATCGGGCGGGCCCTTGCCCGAACCCTAACTTTTGGATAAGTCAAAGGTGGACGTTTCACAAGGGCGGATCCAGCTTTGGCGCCAGGGGGAGTCACATAGTCGTGGTATATTAAATATTGAAAGTACTTAAATAAAATCCCCCTGGGTTTGGTCCATCTGTACCCAGCCCATGACCCCCATGACCCCCCCCCCCCTGGATCCGCCCTTGACGTTTCAGCGGTTAACTTCCAACGAATAATGAAAGTCTTATGGACGACAGTTTCCTGGGCATAATCCCCGTTCGAAGTAGCCGTTTGACTGAAGCGTCACAAAGTGTCACCATCACCTTTGAAAGATTCTTAATGGCACGCTATGATGGCCGTTTTGACGTTTGTGCGTTCATGAAGTTTCATATTCTAAATTAGTTCTACATTAAAAAGAAATAAATGTTTTTCTTCATTGTCATTAGAGATGCGTATTTAGTTATAAAATTTATCGAATCGGAAATTTTAGGGTGTACAATTTAAATTTTACAAAACTACAAAAATATGGTTTAACTTATTATAATAAGGTTACGAAAACCTTTTCAAGTTGAAAACAATTAAATATAATATCATTTTTAACTCAAACAAATTTTTAACACCGGTCATTCGACAGAATCTTTAAAGGATTAAGTGAATTCAATGTTTTATTGTTATGATCAGTAAGAAATGTTATATCATACAAATAATAATATAATTATAGTGTAGTTATTCGCCACATAACTCGCCATTTGTGTTGTTAGAAATTTAAAATGTAATATATGAAATAATGTACGTTACTTATAGGGTCGTTGAGCGTGAGTAAAAATGTATGTATTAGTTTAATTAAATCTTTATAATCAAAAACTTTTTGCAATATTGGTACATTTTTTTTAAATATCTAGATATGACTCGTATTTGATTATATAGGTTTTTTTTTACAGGTTGACTTTTCGCGTCACTATTGCAATGTATCAAAACGGCGATTATGATGTAGTTACAATTACAAGTGTTTGACAATTAATAAGATCTAAAGAAAATATAACTAGAAAAAATTCCACGGGGACCAGGCAGCAGACGGGACTCGAAACCGCACCCTTCGCTATCCGGTGCATTCGGCACTCACCAATTATACTACCGCGGCCCTGATGGCCGCGTAGAAATTGTTCTAGCCATTCTTAAGCTGCAAGGCAGCGCCATCTCTTCGCATTGTAGGTCTTATAGGCTATACCCACATTTTTTTCTAGTTATATTTTCTTTAGATTTAAACATCAAGCAGTTCCAGGCTTAAAATAAAAAAAATATTATTAATAAGATTTAAACTGGATGTATTGAAAAAAAAATTACTAATCTAAATATAATTTTTAGTACTCGAGTGTACTTTAACTTTTGAGGTGCGTAAAATTGGAATTCACAGTTAGAAATGATTGACATTTATTTTTTATTTTAAGAGGTATAACAATGTTGATGCATATTTACTTGTTCGGTTTGTCGGGCTCGCTGTCGCTGGTGTCTGACATGTCGGTGGGGAGGGTGTCTCCCCCCTCCTCCTCCCTGTACGATGCCGCATCGCCGTTCGTCACTGTTACAAAACATTATAACATACTTATATAAAGTAAAAAATGTGTGTGCACATATGTATATACCAGGGTCGATCATTTTAAAAATGGTAAAAAGTGAAAAAAAAAATATAGTAGGATGAAACCCATTGGAAAAGGTAGAGAATATAACCCTCAGATCGCCCGTAATTTATTTTTCCATTTATTTTTGTTATATTTTCTACCTTTTCCAATGGGTTTTATCCTACTATGATTTTTTTTGGTCTCAAAAATTATCGACCCTGGTCTAATACATACACATCTGAAGTGAAACTTCTTAAATACCCTAACATTAGCCGGTGCATAAGGTATAGGGGAATGGAGCAGCGTACGCATCACTCATATATATATATATATATATATATTGCCGCGTGTGACGCTCGTAGCGTTTCAATCTTCTTTTTTCGATAGGAGTTGTAGTTTCCCGAAAATAGCGATAAACCGTTTCCCTACCCTTGTACCCTTAAAAGGTCTCCCCTCGCCTCCCCGACCGCTAATCGCCCTTAATTTATATTTACTTTTTTTTTTAAATGTTTTCTCTTCCTTTTGGTATTGGTTTCATTCTGTTCTATAACAAAATGTATATACAACCTAACATTAAAATATCATAAATCGTATCGAATTGTCACAGAAACAAATTCCCCATGGAATTCCTATCGAATACATTGATAGTTTGAGGAGTAGAAAAATGTTATATTCGAACCGGGTTTGTTTTCACGTGGTGCTACGTCGACAGCTATCTCGTACCCTTCCACCACTTCGTCTTCTAGCAGGGACCCAAAGTTCTGGTCGACGATCACGTAATTTTCTGTCTCCCGCACTTGCAGATCCCTCACCATGTAATGTGTCACCACGCGGTTCATCATTTCGATAAAGAGATGAAGCCACATATTATACGATTACCGAGAGAGAATCATCAGTTTCTCTAACTATAATATATTAAAATAACGTGCCAAAAGATCGATCGCGTATCTGATACGCAAACTGGAACTACATTTTAAACTTTATGGCCACAAGTGGTATAAACATTGCAATTATTACGAGCTAACGACACGACCGAGCTGTTCTTTGTTAAGTCAAACAATAAGTGGGATAAAGTTATGTGCGCACGCAGCTAACTCGCCGTTTATATTTATAAAATACTTCTTAATAGGAACAAGTGTTGCCAGGTCCGATTTTAAAAAATCGGGAGGCGTAGTGAGCCACGACCGATTTTAAAAAAATCGGATACAGGAAAAAGCAGATGTATAAAAAGAGCTGATAAAACAGTAGATGCAGGGACGTTTTTTTTAGATTTTTGGTAAATCAAACATAGTCCAGCAAAAAATTCGTTTCTGTGGCATCTTCGCCCCTCAAAGCTCGATTTTTTTGTAACAAAAACATATTTATTGTATTATATCTAAGGCAAATGGCGGAAACGGAAAAGCACAGGTGACGTATTCTACGTTACGTAACACGCAATTTAAAAAGCAAATCGTATTCTAAGAAGAACAATAGATTCATGAAGAGGAACAACAGCTAGAAAGACAAGGAGAAGAACAGGAGACATTTGAGGAAAACAGGAGATTTCCTGTGAAATCGGGAGATTTGGCAACCCTGACCGGAACAGCTAAATATCAGTTCTCCGAAGCAAGCATTTTGTTATCAACAATATATAATTGTGTACAAGAGGAAATCCGCTATACCCGGTACGGTATAGCGAATTTAACCGATCGAATTGGAACGCCCGTCTGGGGAAGTTATCTCCACCTTACAGAAGACCACAATACAATAACACTACGTTTTGCTGGTGGTGTATTTCTGTGAGCAAGGTTCTATAGATCCACGGGGTAGGGGATTCGGTCAGGGTAGGCAACGGCACTAGCGATATTTGTAGTGTCGCAAGCTTTTATAGGTTACTAGCTGACCCAGCGAATTTTGTACCGCCATAAAAAAATAAGGGTTGGTGGTAGAAGGGTGAAAATTTAGGGTTGTATGTATATATTACGTCATCGATTTTTTCAGATTTTAGACCTCCCCCCCCTACAATCATCCTATCGTCATTTATTAATGACCCCCCCCCCCCCCCCCTTCTCCCAAAATTGACGTCATTACCAGTTTGACAAAATTAAAACATTGCAGATTTGAGAAAAGCTAGTATTATATGTAATATTATTGTTAGAGTATTTTATTTGTAGTTATTACTGTATTTGTGTACATCTATGTTGCATTATGTATGTTTATTATGAGTTATTTTAGTATTGTACGCGCCTTAGCCGCCTCTCACATTTGCAGTCTCACTTACTAGGTGTGCTGGAAGTAATTTCTTTTTAGAAATAATCTTTTTGTACGTGAACAATAAACTATAAATAAGAATGACGTCAATTTCGAACCCCCCCCCCCCCCCCATATCTATCATTTATCGTCATCCGCAGACCAACCCTCCCCCCCCCCCCTAATTTAGAATGACGTAATATATGGACGGCCCCAATGTATCATAAAAAAAATTAAAAAAAAAAATATCTAAAATTGAAATTTGATTAGGGGTGGATTACTCTTAACATTTAGGGGGATGAAAAATAGATACTGAATATGCATATAAAATTTCACGAAAATCGGTCGAGCCGTTTCGGAGGAGTTTAACCACAAACACCGCGACACGAGAATTTTATATAATAGATGGTAGCCGCTTACCATCAGGCGAGTCGCATGCTTGTTTACCACCATCTATACTTATAATAAATCTGTAGAGAGGTCAATTCTGTACATGAAATATATTTTCAAAATAACTATCAGGGGGTGATTAGTGGTCGATACTGATGCCAAAAATGCAATCAGTAAAATTTTTGTCTGTCTGTCTGTGTGTATGTTCCTTATAGAAACAAAAACTACTCGACGGATTTTAACGAAACTTGGTACAATTATTCTTCATACTCCTGGGCAGGTTATAGTATACTTTTCATCACGCTACAATCAATAGCAGCAGAGTAGTGAAGGGAAATGTTGGGAAAACGGGAGAAGTTACTCCATTTTTTAAGCTTCCGTCGCGTGTGCAGCCTTAATGGTTAAAGTTACATAGAAATCATGTATGACGGAAATATTCTACATAAAATTGTCTAAAAAATATCCCGCAACAGCATATGTCTATCTTTTATGGTTGACTCACAATAACACGTGTAATTATATAAATAAAGTCATTGTTTATAGCACAAGCCTGAGAACAAAAACTATAGTTTACACTACAGCTCTACACCGAAGCGAAGCGAGGGCGGGCCACTAGTTTTGAAATAAAAAAGCTGAAATGAGTGGCAGTAAATGCGAACAATATAATTGAATATATAAATTGAAACATGTTATTAACGGGATTGTTACCATGTACATTGTTTTTAGCGAGTTTCCGATATCTCGGCACTGTTGCAAGCGCCATGATCACGGAGTAACTCAAACAAGTGCCGAAATATCGAAAACTCGCTAAAAACAAGGTACATGGTAACAAATCCGTTAATAACATATATTATTATAATGTTAGTGACCATGCAAGTTTAAAAAAATAAATTATCATTATGTTTAAATCTTAATATTCTGTGTATTGTTAAATTTCCTGCATGATTGATGAACGAAATTGACTCTGTGGCACCTAACTTTTGTTCATTAATAATCCACTTAATGTACAATTTAATTAGGAAGACCTGAGGTGATAGAGCCAGTGGTTGCTGTCGTTTGGCACTCACATCCTTGATTAAGGTTTTTTATATGGTTGATATAGGTAGTTAAAACGCCCATATGCAACAATTACAACAAGCTCGTAATCCCTTCAGTTTAAAAAAAATTGCCAAAATATAAAGTATAAAGGATGTCAACACTGAATTGAGAGTATTTTAACTCTTTTGTATTGATAATTTATGCCAGTGTGTTCCTTATTAATATTTAAAAAAAATATAAAGTTAACACGGCAAAGGAAATATAATATATCGCACTAATATTACAACAGTGTCGTAACTCAAAAAATGTCGAATTTGAGATAACATTGTTATCGTGGGCGATTACTTATTGGTATGGCAATAAAAACGAGCGGCGAAAACCAGGACAAACCTGTTGAAGAATGTACACATGCCTCAAATTTATTACCTTCATTGTTGTCAAAATCGGACAAAAATAATAATAACTGTTTAATAAAATCTAGTTATAGTAATTTGTATCGGAAAAGACGGTTATTTTTTATTTTGTAAGGACTTAGAAAATATTGTTAGTATCTAGTAAGACTGTTTTATTTTTGTTTGGTTTTGTTTTGGGATTTATATTCTGTTGATTATTTGATTAAGTTTACATTTAATGTTTCAACTACTTTATAAGAATAATTAGTGATAATCATTATGTGTCGGAAAAGACTGTTTTTTATGTTTCGTAAGGACTTACTAAGTTTAGAAATAAATAGATATTTATTTTTATACTTGTATGTATCTAGGAATTATTTTGTTTAAGAAACTTTATTTTGTAATCACTTATACAAAATATTTCACTATTTTGTATTACTTCAAACATTGTATGTTTTGTTCTAATTCAGTTTATTGCGAAATTATAATTGTTTCTTATAAAACTTTATTTGTTATTATTTACTAATACCCTAACTCGGAGAAAATGTTCAAGTTATACGTAAATATAATACCAAAAACAATTCTTAGAATTGTTGTAACTCTAAAATGTATATTTAAACTATACCAAAAAAGCTATACTCAAATAGTAGTAACCCAAAATATTTCTAAAATAACTACACAACTAAAAATAATATTTCATTATGAACAGTTTGTTCGATATTATACCGTATCAACTCAAAAAATAAGAATAACTTTAGTCCCCGTAATTTTTAAAATTATTGGTATATATATAATATCTTTAAATTTTGTAATAAAACACATAAAGAATGATTTTTTTTATAATCTATAATAAAAAGTGAATAATCAGTTTTTCCTTGATTTTGAAAAACAATCAATTTTGAGTTACAACACTGTTGTAATATTAGTGCGATATGTGTAATAGGGAAGATGCAATATTTTTATTTTTGTTTTCATTTTAAAGAATTCTATGTAGAATAAACCACAGATATATTAAAAAATTAAAATATTGTGATTTATCGGAAAAAATGCGGTTTTAAATTGACAATTTAAATTTTCGCGCGAAAACGAACCTGTGGTTGCGATGACGTCACTCCTGTCTGTAACTGGTCGTGCTTGTTCGTCGCTGGATTTAAATTTTCATACTTTTGCATATTTTTTCGACTTTCGAAATAATTTTTTGAAAAATTTAAAATGGATAATCCATCAACATCATGTGATCATAACAATACCACTAATATTCCGAAAAAAAGCCGTGTTGACTCATGTTTTGTGCCAATCTACTTCAACAAAGTTTCCAAATAAATTGTTTTTGACTGGAAATTCTGACCCAAAACTGAAAAAAAGTGGTTTCAAGCTGCAAAGAGAAATGACAATTATTCTCCAAATACCATTATTCGATGCTGTGAAGATCACTTTGACGTAAGTCGGCGAATATACTTGTTATATGCTTAATTAATCTTCTTGTACGTAAAAACGCATTAGTAACCTACCTAATACTTACAAAAACTGTCTAACATATTTTTAATTTTACAGTTGGAGAATGACGTCGAAAATAAGATAAAGTTTAAAATGTGTGGCACTATCTTCACATTGGCTGGACTGAACCAAGCTTTGCGTTCCATTTAAAATAACTGTAACACGATAACCTTCTTTCGTACTTTATGCTCCGGAGAACTCGACCTTTTACTGTACATAATTCTCCATCTCTTTTAATTTGGACATAGCCGATTGCATTATCGCCGTAAGATTTGTAGAAGCCGCTGAATAAAATACGAAGTTTAACAACGACGATTTTTACATACCGTAGTAACATAGTCCCGTTCATTTCTACACTTAAAAACTCTGCACTTTGGACAAAAAAAGTATAACCATGTCAATACTAACTCTTGGTAAATTCCTGGAGTCTGTTTTGATAAACGCAACTTCCATTTTTATTAAATGTAAAAAAACGCAATTAATATTCCCATAAAATAATATTTACTTTAACAACCATAACCTCAAAGAAGTTGTCATAACAGGAGTGACGTCACTAAACGCTGATTGGTGTTTTAAAATACGTTCTGTTTCAAGTATTTTTAATTCGTAATAATTGTTAAAAAACAACATTATGTAAAATAAAAACGTTACAGTGGCATTTCTTTTATATTTTTTTAACATTTTAAACATAAAATTTTCATATATATTATATATGCATCTTCCCTATTTATAAAATCTGTGCGTTAATTAAGCAGTTGTCTCAAATAAAAAATGACAAATGCGTTTTCATAGCAAAGAAATTTAGTTAAAGTAGCTCTGCTCTTCTTTATGTATATGTGAATCCCAAATTAAAACATGTGACTGTATACGTGCCCCCACGGTCTCTCTCATCTCATTCGAATACTTGGTGGAACAAAAACACAAACTTCGAAATATTTTTGTATATGGTATACGGCCCCCGATGTCCACTGTAATTTGTAAGAAAACATAATTCAATCCACCTCTCTAGAATGTATTGCGCAGGGAAGTCCCGAAAATTATTTCACAAACGTGAGAACAGTTTACATTGTATTCGAATTCCCCGGTTAATTATTTTCATAATATATTACGAACGTTTCTTTGATAAACTATGACCATGATTATAAGTTATATTATTTTATTAAAATTGACGATAATTTAATCGTGATTGATGATCATATTTTATAAAAGCATTGCACTGTCGATTTGGACGGATTGGTACGGTAGTTGAATGATTGAGGCATTTGATGGTGAGTTTTAATGGAGTCCAGTTGAGAATATAGTAAGTAGGTGCGCCTGGTAATGTTGCCTGATCTTTCTACTATTCCTATGTGAAATCGGGAAAAGCTTGACGGGAGACGAGCGATTCCAAAATAGAGCCCCTAGAACCTTACTAACAGCATGGGTATTCTGTAACATGCAATCTCACTTACGATCTCGGATTTCTGACAAATGTCAAATATCTAATACTGGCTGCTTCTACAGATATAGCGACATTTTACCGTGTATTATGCATAATGTCTAAAATTGCAGCTACCGAAATCTGAAGTGAGATTTTATTATACAGAGCAGAACCGCCATCAAACTATAAGGTAGAGTTGAGTTTACTTTTCCAACACGGGTGCTACAATTTTAGCGACAAATCCGCTATGCGCTACAGAATAATGTTGCTCCTTCACATCTTTATTTAAACGACGAGAAAAAAATTTTTGGCTGAACTGTACTTTCTGGGCTCACGAGTTGACACTTTACATTTTATTTTAATTATAATAATGAATTAGCTAAATATGGTAGAGCGATCGATAGAAGGGATGAAGGAATATATTATAAGCCATAAGTGTATGCATGTAAGGTTGACATTACTCCTCGAGCGGCGGGGAGCTGTTCCGCGCGGAGGGGGGGGGGGGGGGGATATAGGAGTAAAGATTCAGTAAATATATCCCGTAAGCGGATGGAAGTAAATGAAATGAGTCGTGGATATAGACAAATGGTTAAACTTATATACACAAGTATATATGTTATGGGCTAAGTGATTAATCGAGCATTAATCATAATGCACGGAGAATATGAATAATGCCCAATAAGAGCGGGCAATTTAATTATAACCAGTCAATTTATCACATTGCCCGGGCATTATGAATAATGCACTGAATTGATTAGCCATTACTATTTTTTATTTACCATTTAATATAAGGACACTAAAATGACGGACATTAAAAAACTTACGCGGGGAGCGTTTCATAGGAATATATGCCGCAAGTGTATGGGGGTAAGGTTGACATTACTCCTCGAGCGGCGGGGAGCTGTCCCACGCGCGCGGGGGGGGGGGGGGGATATAGGAGAAAAGGAATATATCCCGTAAGCGTATGGAAGTAAATGAAATGAAATACATTTATCCGGAACAGTCATGGACACAGACAAATTGTTTAACTTATACACACAAGTATATATATAAGGACACTAAAACGGACGGACATTAAAAAACATACGAGGGGAGCCTTTTGTAGGAATACTGTACTGGAATGCTGTCCCAGCGAACTTCGTACCGCCATAAAAAAGTAGAGGGTAGAAGGGTGAAAATTTAGGGTTGTATGTTTTTTTGTATGATGAATCAAAAATCAAAAAATTAAAAAAAAAAAAAAAATTAGGGGTGGATTACCCTTAACATTTAGGGGGATGAAAAATAGATTACATCCTATTCTCAGACCTACTGAATATGCATATAAAATTTCACGAAAATCGGTCGAGCCGTTTCGGAGGAGTTTAACCACAAACACCGCGACACGAGAATTTTATATATTAGACTAACTGACTCGGCGAACTTCGTACCGCCCAAAAGTAATAATTTGCAATAAATTAAAATTGCGACTATAATTTGAGATTTAAACTATCCTATCTCTCAAGTTGGATCGAACTGCACATGGTGTGCGAATTTTATTATAATCGGTTAAGTGGTTTAGGAGTCCATTGAGGACAAACATTGTGACACGAGATTTATATATATTAAGACTAGTGGCCCGCCCTCGCTTCGCTTCGGTGTAGAGCTGTAGTGTAAACTATAGTCTTTGTTCTCAGGCTTGTGCTATAAAGAATGACTTTATTTATATAATTACACGTGTTATTGTGAGTCAACCATAAAAGATAGACATATGCTGTTGCGGGATATTTTTTAGACAATTTTATGTAGAATATTTCCGTTATACATGATTTCTATGTAACTTTAACCATTAAGGCTGCACACGCGACGGAAGCTTAAAAAATGGAGTAACTTCTCCCGTTTTCCCAACATTTCCCTTCACTACTCTGCTCCAATTGATTGTAGCGTGATGAAAAGTATACTATAACCTGCCCAGGAGTATGAAGAATAATTGTACCAAGTTTCGTTAAAATCCGTTGAATAGTTTTTGTTTCTATAAGGAACATACAGACAGACAGACAGACAGACAAAAATTTTACTGATTGAATTTTTGGCATCAGTATCGATCACTAATCACCCCCTGATAGTTATTTTAAAAATATATTTCATTTACAGAATTGACGTCTCTACAGATTTATTATAAGTATAGATATCCCGCAAGTGAATGGGGGTAAGGTTGACATTACTCACCGAGGGGCGGGGAGCTGTCCCTGTGCGGGGCGGGCGGGGCTCGCTCCTCCCGCGCGTCCCCCCCTCCGCCCGCCTCCATCGACGACTCCCCCAGATCCTACACACATATAAATTTAACTACACACACGTGCACACGACGAGCTAGATCGCGCAAGTGGTTAGCGCGTTCGGCTGCGATCGTTGAAGTTAACCAACTTTCGCAGTGGTCGGTCTTTGGATGGGTGACCAAAGATTTACTATCTTGAGTTCCTCCGTGCTTAGGAAGTTACGTTAAGCCGTTGGTCCCGGCTGCATCTGCAGTCGTCAGCACCCACCAACCCGCACTGGGCCCGCGTGGTGGGTCATGGCCCGATCTCCCTATTCCATCCATAGGAAAGGCCTGTGCTCCAGCAGTGGGGACATTAATAGGTGATGAGGATGAAGTACACACCACAGACGTAGATCCAAATAAATATCATCATCATCAGCCTATTAATGATTAAATCAAAAAGGAAAGATACTGTAGATAAAATACAGATAGGGTCGCGATGCAAGTTTGCATCTAATTTGTCATTCGTCCATGACGTAACACTGACGCGACCAATCAAAACGCAGCTTACCCTCCGCCAACACTTGAAAACATTGGCGATTTCAATTTACAAAAGATTAATGCAGACGGACAGAAAGAGGTTACAAGGGCCTTGTGGGCGGGCCAGGTGCGCCACAGCGATGTGTGAGTTTCTTGATTTGAGCTGATTGGTTCGATTGTTTGTTGTCGCGTTGTTTGATTGGCTATTATCTATTCGGTGCAAGTGTAGTGGGGGCGAGCCGGCGACATCTATTCCCTTCCCGTACAAACGGTTAATGATCACCCTTCTCTAACCTCTTTCTGTGTTCAGTGTGCAAACTCTAATAAGACTCTATAGAGTTCTACCCAGAAGGGATAGAACCTGGGGACGTAGATGTTAATTGAAAGATACTGATAGAAATAAGTTATTTATTTTGTTTTATCATTCAGGCTAATATAAAAGTATTTTATCTAAATACGAGAGGAATTCTTGGTGCCTGAAGATCTAATAATCAATGGGACCTTCTATCAAAAAGACAGACGATTCCTTATTTCAAATCTTAAAATCATGACATTAACTTTTTAATATAACTGCCAACCGTAGGCATTGCAAAAGCAAAGAGTTTACCAAAACAAGGAGGTTGTAACATCACGGACGTTACAGTACCCTTATTTACTCCTATAAAAGAGGCGTGAAGAAGCAACATGCAGGCCGGTAGGGTGAGGATGGCTGGTGTGGCAGTTAGAACTGCTGTATCAACTATCTTCGCGTCTGGACTTCACCTTCACTTAACATCAGGTGGAGTGGAGTCATTTGTCGGAACTATCTATAAAAAAAAATCTATGTAGCCGCTGGACACCAGCTCCTATTAGTATCAGCAGCCTATTACTGTCCCTCATTAACATAGAGAATGGACGAGCTTTCCTGTTAAACTATAAAGAAAAACAGAAGTACGTAAATGTGAGGGAGACAATTCGCATAACATAAGTGTTGGCTGTTTTTCTCTCTTTCTAAAGAGTTGTCAATTGCATGTGTGTGTCGCTTAGTCCATTCTCTGTTCTCCAGTAAAAATTGTTACACGGAATCATCATTCATTTTAATTCATTCATCATCAGCCTATAATGTACCCACTACTGGGGCACAGGCCTTCCCTATGGATGAAATAGGGAGATTGGGCCATGAGCCACAAAAGTTGTTAAATTGATATATGGCAACAAAGATCTTATCTAATAGGCTTATCTCGAGTTTGTACATTATAATTGGGCTTATATCTATGATACCCCCACTGTTGGGACACACTCTTTACATTCTTAATCACTATGTCGGCGACGTCATATTTTGTTTCTGATTTTGTGCAGCAATATTTTAGCAGATTCTACCCATTGCGTAGTTTCCAAAATTGCTGTCGAAAGTTATTATGTGTCGCGTCCTATGTCCTTGTATCGCTCTCATGCCAGCGTGGATTCAAAGTATATACTGTATATACATACATACATAGTGTGGCTCAGGGATATTTGTGCCTAAAGGCTGATATGGTTATTAATTTTGCTCTGAGTATGTTCTAGTGATGCGATGAAGGTTCCAAATTGAAATAAAATTTGTTTATCCATTTTGGCGTCATTGAGCTTTCCTCAAAAAATCGATTTATTTGTTATTATAGCATATTATGATATTTAAAGACCGAATAATTATAGAATTAGAATTATAAACAGTGAAAATATGTTTCCAAAACGCATGCTTCCAACATTTTGCATAACAAGAACGGCTGACGCTACACGACTAAAATCAAAGTTGATTTTTCTTTAGGCAAAACATTGCTACAACGATCTCATTTAATTTACTAGCGTAATAGTTGGTGTTAACTAAGATTTTAAAGAGTATTTTTAATTTATGCCATAGAGCACACATAAAGTTATTAGCAAAGTGCAGTGTAGTTTACTTTCATTACGTCAATTTAACAAATACTATTGTTTTTTAAGCTTCACAGTTCACTATAACCCGTAGTTTACAGTGTAAATAAACTTAATGACTCACTTTCTTTTTGGTCAGAACACTGGGTATGCGCATCATGGCGGGGTGGACAAGTCGCGGCGAATGTTTATCGGCAACTTTTGCCATCGATAACATTGTACACGATAATAGTTTCGGCGAGTCTCGCTCCGGTATCGCTACGGGACTGATAACGTATCACTGTTGCGGTGACGTAACGCCCCAGGTGCGCGCGTTTGACAGTGAGGTGACTTCTCATGTGACATTGACAGGAGGGCGCTGGGTGGTGAAATTAAATCTTTGCGAATGAGAACGTGAAATCTCTTCACTTGTTTGGAATGTTATAATAATAATAATAAATATTCTTCATTGCACACAACAAAGGACACAAGACAAAAACAAATAAAACAGAAGAAAGAGTACAATAGGCGGCCGTATTGCTAAACAGCAATCTCTTCCAGGCAACCTATGGTAGAAAAGGAATAATAATAGAGAAATATAGAAGGGTGCAAAAGTAGATACAGGAGCTATATTTACATAAATATAAGAGAAGCAAAGAAATAGGATATAAAATGAATTTAAGATATAGTTAGTAATAATAAATCGAAAACAGGAACTATAAAAGGCATAGGTATTTACACCCTCCTATGTAAATAAGAAAGATTCAATTCAATTCAAAACAAGCACACGTGAAAGTCTACTAAGTAAACTACGCCATCGGTTCGCAAAACTACGGCGAGAGACTTTGAACTGAGAAGAACCGGCAAGAAACTCAGCAAGGGTTGCTTTTTTCCCCCCTGTTTTATTTCACATTTAAAAGTTGACATCAATCTTTTTATGATTATCTATGATGTCGACTTCTACTACATTTCAAATCAGTCTTTCCTTTGCATTCTGTATAGAGAATGACAAGGATACACTGTTGTCAAATTTTAGTTTAGATTAAGAGAATCAGGCCAGAATCGACATCTATATCTTTCTAAAATTAGTTCCGAATTCAGTCGTGCGTTACAAGACTTTGGTGGCACTGTATGCCAGTAATGTATAATACTTGTCTTATCGACAGATAAGAATTTTAAAGGCGATAAAATTAAACAATCATCGTATTGTGTATTCTTTAGTCGTAATATGAATGAATTTAACAAGTAGCGTCTTTCGGGATAAGAGTCACGCTAAAGTATACTGTTTATCGGACAAAGTAAAGACTGTAAAAGAGCTTATCAGTTTTCGCTTGTGGTAATTAGGTGACATTCGCTAAGACCGCACATCGGATGGGATCTCATTCAACAAAGATTTAAATAGTTGGTGATCAATAGTTCATTATAATTTATTTCAAAAGGGAATCTCTATTTATCATTTGAATTGATTGATAACAAAAGGGCAGAAGACCTGACAACGTCATTTTTTCCCTCTTTTCAGTATTTCGATTTGCTATTTTACACAAACCACTGCGCCTGCGCGGTATTTATTTATATATTTCATACATAGGAACTCCTGTGCCCCAACTGCAAGAATAACCTTGGGATGAGGAAAATGATTATGTTATCAAAGATATTGTGTTGATATATTTAACACTAGCGGCTCGTCCCGGCTTCACATGGGTGTATTATATACTATGGAAACATAATGAATCAGCAATGAGCTGATTTTTCAGCTTAGCAAAAAGTTTCTAAGTATATAGGTCGAGTATATTAAATCTATTTGGCCATGGGCATTCCTTATGATTAACAAAGAGTTTATTTTAGGCATATAAGTTGATTTCTTTGTTGTAATATCTTAATATACCGGAATTCCCAAGGGAACTTCGAGGGTAAAACCGCGGGGCGCAGCTAGTAATAACATATTGGAGCAAATTTGCTGAATATATTTTAAAGATAACTTGCATATCATTTTTATTTTATACAGAGTAGGTGTGCAAAATTTTAATCAATCCTATGCACTTTTGTATGCTCTCCCATATAAACTTTGAAACGAAATTTTGTAATTTTTTGAGGGTAGTTGTAAAAATTTTATATAACAGCCTTAGTGTACATCTATTAAATATTTTTTATACAAAATTTGCAGTCTAAGGGAAAAGATTTTGCGAAACGTTTTTTGCAAATTCACGCTTAAGAGGCTGAATTTCAAAAAATCCTATCTTATTACATGTCTAGGCAATAACAAGAACATACTGTCTTGTCTGTGTGGTATTTCATCATTCTAAATCCAGCCGTTTTGGCTGTGCGTTGATGAATTAGTCTGTCAGTGTATCATTTTCTCTGTTTATATAATAGTATAAATTACCTCTGCGGCTTCCGGCGGCAGCGACGCCTCCTCGGGGAAGTCCCGTCCGTAGCCCTCGTCGTCCGAGTTGAAGCCCAGCTCTTCACCGTAGCAACTGTGCACCTGGCAGGACAATAGGTTATTAAAAAAAAGTTAAAATAGCCTTTTGACAAAATTATCATGCAAAATTTAGTTTCTTCACTTGTGAAAATCGCATTATCGACCTCCCCCAGCCCCCTTTTGATTCCCTCTATCTCTAGCTTCTGATCTCAAGTCTTGTCTGTCTGTCTGGTTAACACCACGTTATACAGCACTGTAAATCGTAATGCAATAGTAGGGGAACAATGATATTCTACTTAACAAGAAGTAGAATTGTATCGTGAATCGTTAACAATAACAATAACCTGTCGAGTAATTTAAAAGTAGCTGAAATAAAGACTCAAAATGTTCTTTATCATAAAAAAAATACACACGACGAACAAATAAGTTAAGATTTTCGCAAAGAGAAAACGAGTCACAACTAAACAATAAATAAAACTAGTTTTTACGGGTTAATGCACGAAACTTTATTTATTTATTGACGTTTCGTAGCCTTTACAGGCTTCGTCATCAGAATAAAATGTTTGTTCAGAATAGAATGTTTTATTCTGACGACCAAGGACGTATAAAAAAAGGCGGACAGAGTTTCGGCTAAGACAATACTGAGGCACCGTAATGGCGGCGGCTATTGATGAGTGAGTGAATTGTTGGGTTGCTAGGTTAGCCAATTTTTTACCAATAAAACACAGTAAAAAAATGAAAATATTTTGATTGTTCAAAATTTTACTTTTTGCCCGACTGCGGAGGATAATGTTTTTCGAGCGTATGTATGCATGTATGTATGTATGTCCAATAATTTGGCACGCCCTACAGCCTGAACGTCTTGACGGATTTTGACATGCGAGGTGTCATTTGATTTGTCGTGATTGTGTGAGTGGCACTCGGTATATAAAAATTTCAAAAAATCAAAATAACATATTTTATGCGCCAAAATGAAACATTTTGAAAAAAAAGTATAAGTATTTTTATAACCCGTCAAGCGAGGTATCAAAGTGAAGGGTTTTAAAATAATATTTAGAAAATATACAACTCGTGTAATTAAAAATAATGAAATTAAAATGTCGAAAATAAAAAAAAATGTACTAAAAAGAAAAAAACAAGTCCAGTAGTCTAGAATTCTGTTTAATAAGGAACAAAGTTATTTTAACAGTCGGGACTCATTAGAAATTCTAGAATGTATCGAATTTTCTCAATATTGGGTGAATCAACTAAATATAGATGGCCTGGCCTACATTCTCTTTCATATTTCTTAAAATAAACTAACACCCATTGAGTACTGTTTGTAATTGAGGAGACCCATTGTTTTCCTCCGAAAGTACTCTTCAGATCTCCAGTAAATTAATATGCAGCCATCACGCTAGTAAACTGATTAAAACAAAAACAGAATCATCATAAACGGTCCCGAATCTCGGAGATCTGCGCGAACAACAATAAAAAAAAACAAATATGACGCATTGCGAACCTTTTTCTTTTCGAAATCGGTTAAAAAATTTAATCAACCTTTTGAGGTAATGCATACGTAATAACACGCCGGGGTCCTCCTTTAGTTGTATATAAGTCTTGAGCTTCAAAATGAAGACTAAAAATGACATTACTACTTAATTGTTTGGAAATCATTCATTTTCCAGTAATTTCTCCATACTACATTTTCTTTATTAAATCTGATAAAAAAGAATAATAAATAATAGATTGAAGTTAATGTCAACCCAATTTCCCATATTTTAGGTAATATGGTTACATGAACATTGGCAACACTGGGCTTTAGACTAATCATTTTGTCCTTAGAGTGAAAATTGATTTCGATTTCTAAAAACTGGAAAAAAGTGATTAAATAATTCATTTGCCTATGAAACGTGATTCCTGGATTTTTTTCTTTCGGTCACTACGGTTTTTACACCATTTTACCACGCAAGACATCTTGTTTAACTTATTTTTATCTCCACGTAACGTGTCGGCTGCTTTGACGTTTGCACGCGTAATGGCTGACTATGGTGTGAATGTGTGTGTGCCGGCTTGTACGTATAGCGACCTGGCCGACTCTGAGCGACACAGTTTGTTGTTTACCGGGACTCTGTCCGCCTTTTTTTATACGTCCATGCTGACGACGAAGCCTGTAAAGGCTACGAAACGTCAATAAATAAATAAAGTTTCGTGCATTAACCCGTAAAAACTAGTTTTATTTAATGAGTGATGTGCGTGAAAACCTAAGAAACAAATAAACTAAACAATAATACGCACTGTAAGGTGAGGCAGTGCCAATTATAACTGTTAACTGATGAGCGATGGGTGACCTTGGTTCTAATACAAACATCGTGAGTTTATTCATAATTAAACGAGCACGAGATTTTTTTTAATTTGATGGAAAGGACTACGTGAAATTACCTTCCCTATAAGTTCGATAGATATTATATGGGTACGCTTCTCAACTTCATCCGAAAATATAGCTGCCTTCCGACCGGCCCAGTTAAAAATTTTATAAATACCTCTCAAAATAATGAGACGTTACAACCGCGCGGTGCAGCGAATACATATATACTTATGAATAAGAGCTATTATAAAGTTGATGATTATCTAAATGATCGTAATGCATGGACATAGTGTTTCTTATAATTTGATATTAAATGGGTATTACTCATTTTTCATAACAGTAATATTGTACCTATCTAATGCCGCTTCCTATATACTACTTAAAATGTTAACTATAAAATTAATTGTAACTACATATTTATATTCTAGATGATGTAATGGAAAGTGACTTCAGACGTATTTCTGAAGTAATTTTTCAACTTGACGACACTGTATATAACAATACAGGGAGAAAAAAACAGCCCTTGCTGAGTTTCTTGCCGGTTCTTCTCAGTACAAGGTCTCCCGCCGTAGTTTTGCGAACCGATGGCATAGCTTCTTGACCTTCACAAGTGCTTGTAACAGCCTAGACTGAATAAATGACATTTCATTTCATTTCACACACTATTACTGGAAAAAATTGGATCTACTCTTATCTAAATGTGGGAATGTTACCCACAGGTTTAGAGGATTACATGTTTTATTATATTAAAACTAGCGGCCCGCCCTGTCTTCGCTTCGGTGTAGAGCTGAAGTGTAGACTACAGTTTTTGTTCTCAGGCTTGTATTATACACAATAACATTCATCTATGATTCTTCTTATACCTGCATGCAAAGTCTCAGCCCGAACGGTTTAAAATTGACAAAGTTTCATACAAACTTTCATTCCCTATTTTATCCCCTTGGGGGTAGAATTGATCAAAATCCTTGAATCCTTTTCTTAGCGGATGCCTAACTCATAACATCTACCTGCATGCCAAATTTCAGCCCAATCCGTCCAGTGGTTTGGGCTGTGCGTTGATAGATCACTATGTCAGTCAGTCAGTCACCTTTGAGTTTTATATATATAGATAGATTATTAAGGCGTTATGCAGCAAAAATATATTAATTTCAAAAATAAAAGGTAGATATCCCTATTACTAAGTAAGACTCCACTGTCCTGTCCGTCTGTCCAGGTCAGTTTGTTTATTATTAAACCAGGGCTGTATTGTATCATGAACATGTCACTGCATTACCGACCCGAGCGAAACAGCACGTTAAGTTTCAACGGCAGCGCGAACGAGACAGCGAGATCCGCGTCACTGCACTACCGACCAATCACGCGAAAAGTGATGTCGTGGGTTTTATTTTTAGTTCTTGAGCAATTTTAGCACTTTTTAAAAACACACTTAGGTATTGTTTTATCATATAAACACAAAATATTAGCAATATTTCTTTTTGGCGTTCACATGTACGTCGTTTGCATGTCAAGTTGTGACTAAAGCGATTAGGGTCGTGGACCACAATTTGTGCGGATCACTTTTGTGAGGCTAGTGCCGTATCTACCCTTTATGTTTTAATCTAAGATCCTGGTGCCACTTAGGTCTCTCCTTGCAATAGCTGTGTGTGACATCGTTAGATTGGTATTTTAAGCTGAATAAAAGTTACTCGCCGAGTTCCAAATCTTAGTCCGTTCTGAGTTATACTTAATTAAACATGGCAGTTTTAGCAGTAGCCGTGTAATGTATTAGTTCACGATAGTAACATTAATTATCCAAAGATATTGTACCTGCATGACTGGACGACGTACTGTAGGGACCAGTGCGTATATTGTATCAATCATTTGGGTACCTAGGTTACGCCAGGCATGAGGGATTTATAGGCCCTGCCTTATTTTTAAATTAGTGGCCCGTCCTCGCTTTGCTTCGGTGTAGAGCTGTAGTGTAGACTATAGTTTTTGTTCAAACGCTTATATTATACACAATGACCTTCTTCATAATAATTATAAACCTTCCACTCCAAGTAATAAAATCGTTGCGTAGTTTAGGACCCGTTGTACCGAATGCAACATTGCTCTGTTGTTTCGAATTGAAAAAATCTTTTTGTATTGGACAGTGCATTTATTGAGGAAGGCTATAGGCAATATATTACCAGGCTATTGACCAGTAGCAGCGGAGAATGTTGCAAAAACGGGTAAAAATATTCCATTTGTGACATTCCGTTGCGTGCGCTGGGTAAACGGTTAAAGTTACACAAAAATCAAAACGGTAAAAGAATTTTCAAAATCGGTCCAGTACTTTTTGAGCCAATTCGTTACAAACATACTTACATTCAAACCTTTCCTCTTTATAATATTAATATAGATGACGTCATTGTAGACGACGAAGTGTGTTTTTAAAATATGTTATCGTTGTTATATTTGTCAAAAAAAATGGGTGCGTGTACTTATGTAGGCGCGTGAGAAGTTATCCTTCTTTGGCATCGTTGAAAATTAGTTTTTAATTGAATGCAAATAATTAATAACAATAAATTTAAAAAAAGTCTGGAAAAGGACACAGTCAATAAAGTTCAGTTTTAATTTGAAAAAATAAATAAATAATCAAAATATTCAATTAAAATCGCTACTGAATATAATTTATTAGAACATAATAATATGTGATTTGCACTTGTATGAAACTCAAACACGTATTCCGAATATA